GATGCTGCTGACTGAGCAACATTAGTTTAAAATGCCCCGTAAATGAAAGCATCGCTCTTGTGTCTGAGCCTTTCATCTTCTCATTTGCCATTCTAAATTCTGCATTCGCTCTTGAATCGCATCAGCCAAGAACAATAGAAATTCAGAACAAAGAGTTATGCACAATTAATGCTGTTATATCTCAAATACTGAATGTCAATAGAGCTTATGAAAATTCATTGCGAGGTCTGTGGGGGTAGCAACAGGCAAACATTATCATCTATACCAAATAAGAGTGGCACTTCTCCCCTTCTTTTCCTTTGTGCTGGTAAGATGAATAACTAAATCACTGTGCTGCTGGCATTGTCTGGCTGGATTTTCTTTACCCTGCAATAGCTAATGCTCTTTGGTTATGAGTAATCTCGAAACTCTGGGAGCACAAGGCAGCTAAGCTCAAGCAGAAGCTCTTGGAAGTACCATGTAGTCATACATCACCCTTAGTATGACTGGGGGGGGGGGAACATTTCACTGATTCCTTCCCCCGCACCTACCCCCAAATGCTTCAGAGAGGGTATTTATGGGGCTAAAGTTATGCAAGATCTGGGCTCCTTACAACATGGCAGTAGCCACGCTGTGAGAAGGCCAGATGCTGAATTATTTTGACCCCGGAGTGGTTTCCTGATGAAAACAATGTCGGTGAAAATTGAAAACATGAATAAAAATCCTTAGCACTTTTGCTCAAATATCAGGGGACAGCTCCTATTTAGGCACCTAATTCTTACTGGTTATAACAGGAGTTAGGCACCTAAATATTGGAGATACTGGGCCTTGCTACATAGCAACAAGTGTTCCTTCCATTTTAAATGAGAACTGAGTCTTGGAGCAAACTTTTGTGTGACCCCAGTCCCTTCTGCCGAGGTGTAGCACTTGGCAGGGAAGAGCACTCACTTTCTCTTGTGTAAATCTGAGATTGGAACGGCAATGAATTTCCTAGGTAGAGATTAAGGCCAGCAGTGCACAGTGTCTGTGGTTCCTGTGCACTCATCAGCTCCCTGTGTTGCACACACAGGTTTGTACCCGAAAACTTGCAAAGAACAATTTTTTCCAACTATTTAGTTGGTCCAATAAAAGAGATCACGTTTACCCAAAGAACCTGGTCTACAGAATGCATGCACACACGTGCGTGCACCTGTCTGTGTAAGCTGGTCACTCATCTGAGATCTGCAGAAACTCTTCACCTTGCACTGGGAGGTACTTACTTCTCTAGGCAGGTGCTGGCTCTTCTCTCTGGCTGAGGCATTTTGAGCTGCACTTTGTGCTCTCTGTGCATTGCCCACATTCCCTAGAGTAATTTAGCACAGCCATTAATGGTCCAAAAGGGGCTGACACAGCAACTGGGAATGGCTGGCATGGAAGGAAGGCCCTTCTCCCACCCATGTACTCTTCTGACCCTGGCTGCAAAAGATGACGCCTGGGACCCATGTTGCTGGGTCCTTGCTATGGGTAGATGTCCCTACAGTGAGCTGATCCTTCCATCGCCAGGTTTAAGGGCAAAACCCACCCAATTCATGGGAGCATCAGGACAACTGAGGTATGTCCAGTGCTTGTTTTTTTAGATTCCCCCTTCCTATGTGATGACAATACATTATTTATTGGCATGGCTTGTGGGGAGGTCCTTGCTTTTCTCTGCAGTAGGGTGGACCACATGGGCCTCTTCCCTGGATTGTTATTTAATAATTGATTTCCTGTCCTTGCAGTGGCAGGACATGGGCACTGCCCTCATCCCTGTGCTCTTCCTGTAGCAGGTTGTATTTGATGTATTTGAGTGTATTTGATGATTTGGGCCCTTGTGCCTGGTAGCTGTGCTGGTAGTTGCCGTTTTAGGAGCAGGTTAGACAAACACTTGTCTAGGATGGTTTGGATAGGGAAGGTCCTGCCTTGAGCCCTGGGGCTGGACTAGATGACCTCCTGAGGTCCCTTCCAGCCCTACTTCTCTACGATTCTGTGATTTGCCTTACATTACTATCGTCCTATACAATAGTGAGTTACCGTATCTCAAATTGCTGGGTAGCTGGTGGAGGACTGGCAAATTATACTTTCACGAATCATCATAGTCTTACTAATTGCTCCTGACCATTAGCAGGGATGGGATAGTTCGTTTGCATCCTCTGTGAGCTACTTTCTTGCTACTGGCAGCCAAGCTTGCATTTTTCTGCTATGTCCCTCTGATTCAGGTCCCGGCTCTCCTCTCCTCTCCCCTCCCCTCCCCTTCCATGGAGAATAATCGCTGGTTTCTGTAGCTCTGCAGCCTTGTATAACAGGGACAGCTGCGGCACTCAAGCAGGTCATAACCTAGCCCTTTAGAAACTGAATTGAACTGCAATGATTTACATAGCGGTTTACCATGAAGCCTGTTAGGAGGTCCACTGGGATATGAGTAGATCATGCAGAAACGTCTTGGGACTCTTCTTTTCCTTGGAGCACGCCATCCTATTGCCGGGTGAAACTGTTCATTGCAACAGCTGTTGACTAGAGGATCTTGATGGAGATTGGTTTTGATTTGACATTGGGCAAATAACCGACCCTGCAGCTTCAGTTCGATATTATTTCACTAAGGCTGTAGCTGGCAGTTGTTGTGGTGTGCCATAGATTTTAGTTTGATTAGAAAAAACCTGAGATTTGCTCCTAGGATAGTCCTGTGAGAGGGATCAGTCTCCCATTTTAGTTCAGACGGTCAAATCCAGATAGAAGGCTCCCAGGTTAACATCTCCTACTGACAGCCATGAAGTTTTGAGCAAATACTCTTTTATACTAAATATTGTGTCAGCATGCAATCAATCCTGTAAGCTCTCCGTGGTTCGGAGGACAGTGATCCCATGAACAGATATCGCTACGGTTCTTGTTGACTCCTACGGTTCACAGCACAGCAAAACTGGCTTCTAAATGATAGCGCCAAGTAGTCATCAGGATATTTTTTGTGTGTGTTCATGCATTGCATTTTCTGAATTTGCTCAACTGGGCGCTTCCTCACCCACTTGTCTACAGGGTAAAGTTTGGTTTAGTGCTGCCTGTGCTTGCAGGCTTGCTCTGTAGCATCCTGGGGAGGTGTAGTTTGTGTTTGTAGGCCATGATGGTTATGTTCTGCTTAGAAACATTTCTTTCACTGTACCTCCTAAGTGTACTTGTTGGTTGGCTTGTTTGGATAAAGAGTTTCTGGCATTCGAAACCTGCCACCATGAGACTGCGTGTCTAGTCTGGACATGCAGAGCCAAAACCTCTTCCACCAGCTAAGCGTGCAAGTGGCATTTGGTTGTCCAAGTTGATCCTCCTCCACCTTGTTCAAGTCCCTGGAAAACTCTTGACATCCTTTTGTAACACACCTTCATCTTAGCCTGAAGACTAAAGCGCAAAAAACCAGTGCAGGCCAATCCCCCTTTTGCACTAATAGTTTTTCAGGGGAAAGGATCACAAATAGGCACTGGGATGCCTAACAGATTTAAATCAGATCTGGCCTGTGGTTACCATGGTTATATGCACAACGGGCTTCGCTGCCCAGGCAAATAGCCACTCCTAGGGATTTTGCACACAGTTACCCAGTTTGATGGCGCTGTGGACATAAGATCACAAGCCAGTTTGCATCTTTGGTTTTGCAAATCTGGGCTTGCAGTAGTGAGGACTCCAGAGTTACTCACAGACTTATAGCATCTCATTGTAGAAATGTCAGCTTTTTGCCCAGGTTGAGAAAGTGGGGATGACAGCCCTGTTTGCCATTACAGTCCCTCCGGGTTGCATTAATATGGCTGGCTATGTCTTGAGATGTGTCCTACTGCAAGCTAATGTTTTATTTATAAAGGATGCTGCATTGCTCTTATAGATAAGCCTCTAATCCCCCGACTGTTGTAGAGAAGGTGACTGGAGAACCGTGGTATTATCAGCCACCACCGTGGATCACAGTTCCCCACTTGAATAATGGGGAAAATGTTTGACAACACCAATGCAAATAAACCTTTCCTATAACTGCACATGCCAACAAGATGGAGCGATTAAATTGTAGGAGGACAGCCATGCTGTGCCTGGTTCTCTTGTCCCGTATTGGTACAGAGTCTGTGGCAGTAATATGCACCATTCAGTGAACATGGTTTTATTTGTGCATTTCTCCATTTCAATTCATTTTTGGAGCTGTTACCTATAATTAATTATACCTTCTGTTTGCTAGTGTTGGTACCTTTTGGAATACAACAAAGGGATTCAAAAGACCCATCTGCCTGTCTTGTTAGCTTTAATTAAGAGGAAACTCAACAATTTTGACAGTGATTTAATTTTAGAACCCAATTTAATATCACAGACATGCTCTCCAAGCTGTAATCCAGGCTTAGGAGTTTGAATGCAAAAGCTAGAGGGAAATAACGCCGGAAGGGTTGGGGGATTTTTCAAGGGAAGTCATGAAAATGCACAAGTCACAAAAATTAAATGTCTTTGCTGGCAGAAAAATAAAATTCAGTTCAACTGTGTCTCAGTCCTGCAAGCAGCTTTAAAATCTATCATCAGGTCTACAGCATGAAGTCTTCAAGGGATGGAAGAGTTCAAATGAACGAGGTTCACTATGCAGATGCTTCATGTTCACAGACTAATCCATAGCTGCTAAGAAGTGTGGATTCTCATATTTAATCTCACTTAGGAGAGTCTTATATTTTAGTCTTGGTTCATTGTATTTGCCAAGCAAACAAGGGGGGGAAAAACCAAACTTTGAACATCCAGCTCTGTGCTCTGAGAAACATTCTTGAGTCGATGAATTGATCAGAAATGTCAAAGTGTCTGTGAATAAAGTTTTTTGCTTATGGGTATGAACTCAGCCTGCTTTTTCCATGTGTATGGGGTTTCTTTGAGCTTCCCCAAAGGCAAGTAACCTCCAAGATCTGTGGAGATCTAGAGGGGCTGAAGTAGTGGACTAGGAACAGACCTTATATGACTCTTGATGCGACCTACCTGCTCACTCACTTTCTGATGTTTTAACCCCACAGGGCGCTTTGGGACCTGCCGGGCCCCCTGGATCGGCTGTGAGTAGCTCTTAGCATTTGAACATTTCTTATCCAGCATTGATAAGCAATATGCATGAAGAATGGTGCACAGTAACATAGCAGCAAGGCTCCTTTGTAATGGTAAATAGACATAGTTGGGAGCAGGGGAGCGTTCAAGGGAGCTTCGATTTATTTTGTTCTGGTTTTGGTTTGCAACAATGATCTACTTGCGTAGCCAGTTTCCAAATGCGTAGCCACACTGTCACAGGAAAGTATGGGGGCTTCTACTGAGCCCGACTTAAACCAAAAACAAATGTGTATTATTAGAGATGGCTATAAACATTATATGACCAGTGGGAGTCCTTCTGTTGCTTTCCTGGTACTAGAAAGCAACCCAGACGGCTCTCACGACTAGCTCATCAGGCATTTCATGGAGTAAGATAATGTCATTTCCAAAGAGGCAAAAGGAGCTGTCAGTAGGTTCAGCCCACTAAGTTCTCTAAAGTTCATGGAAACTTTGTTCTCAGCCCTGTACGGATGTGTTAGATTGCTGTGTTAAATGGGAGGTCACATTTAACTGCCGCTATTTGGATCAATGGGAATGAGGGGAAATGTTCATTATCCGTGTCATAGTAACAAAATGACAGTCGCATGTTTGGTGCTGAGCTTAATGGGTGTCTAAGTAGAGTCTCCCAACACAACTGCTGCAGTTAAGAAAACTTTTCTCCTTAAATGAAGAAATAATGAATAGTGTTTTTCAAGGCATTGATTAGGTAGTGTCTTAGCCAGGTGAACAAGCAAGCCGGGTAGAAATAGCGTGCATCTTGCTTGACTCCTTTACTCTTCGCAGGCTTCTGTTCTTATAGCCAAGTGTCACAATGCTGATGCAGGTAGGTGAGATTCAGAATAGGCAAGAGCATAGCTTATTTTGTGCACGTGTAATATCTCGTTGAGTCTAATACTTCCTGCAGATTCGCCAACACCTGAGACTGGGATGTGACTCTACTTACAACTCTTTTGTAGTAGCTTCATTGACACTTGGGAAGACACTGTATTTCTCTTAATATAACTTTTAGCAGGTGCCAAGAGGAATAGCTTGTCAACAGCAAAAATACTGTAAGGACAACCAAGTTAAAAAACCTCAAAGGCTATATTTCTGCCTTCACATATGTATAGGTCATTTTTGTCCAGAACAGAAAATAAGTCCTTAAGCAACAGCCATGGAAAGGGAATGCACAAGACAAGAAAACGTCAGGATTCAGTGCCCAACTTCGGATCCAGTTTCTAATTGTAAATGGAGATAATTGAGAGTAGAGGAGCATTAAAGGGAAGAAGAGAGTTTTGATTAATTTTGTTCAGGTTTTGGTTTGCAACAATAATCTGCTTGTGTAGCCAGTTTCCAAACGATATCTCATTGTTTTAACATTTTGTTTTCAGGCCAGAGGATTGCCAGGACCTCCAGTAAGTAAGAGCATCTTTCTCAGAAAAGGCAGTTCAGCTATTGCTTTCCTTTTTTTTTTTTTTAATTTACCTAAAACCTACACACAGACCCCATTCCTAGGTCCTCCACACTGTGCAGAGTGCAGAGAAGCAAGGCCTGTAGCTAAGGCTGCTCATATGCCACCCAGATCCTTGGGGCTGCTGGAGAAGGCTGTTTCGACTGCTAGCACCGTTTAGAGCAGCCCTGGGCATGGCAGCTTTGCAACTTCCAGGCATTGACATTTCCTGGGGTCACTGGGGTCAGGTCAGAGCTGCCCTTAGCCAGGGTAAGGAGAGTGTTGGGAGCATCTCCCTGTTCCCTAGGATGGCATTGCTTCTGGAAACAGGGCGTATGCAGCCGGGTAAAGCGTGTGCATGTCTTTGTGTAGGGCCCATCTGGCTGTTTGAGAGCAAGATCAGGGAGTGGAAGGATGAGCATTTGCTGCTGGCCCTGGGAATGGTGTTGGGTAGCAGCACGTGTGACGTTCTCGTCTCTACTTTACAGGGGCCTCCAGGACCCAGTGGACTCCCAGGTGGAAATGGATTTCAGGGGTCCCCTGTGAGTTCCTCATTCTTTCTTTCCCATTTGTTGATTCTCCTACAGTGCAGGATGAAGAAGGGCTTGTGTCTTGTCTTTTGCTCTGCCCTGAAAGAATAATGTGTCCGACACCCTGCCTGCTCTGTGGAAAAGATGGCAGGAGAGGCACCCGTTAGTGTAAAGAGTGTGTGCCTGAGCCACGTTCCAGGGCTGCCCAAGGATGCAAACCTGTTGCCCCCTTGTGACCAACATCCAGAGCATGCATAAGACCAGACACTGCCCCAGCTTAAGGTGTCACCGTCTCTGATGCCACCAGAGTGCCTGCAACCCAAGTGTCCGTTCTTTGTGATGAGGGACCAGCATCACCTGCATGAACATTACTGGGTGTCGTAGTTTGTAAGCCGGACCTCTCTTTGGCAGACGCCCACAGAATTTGCATTCGTATTTCTTTGTGCCCGCAAGTGAATGAGAGGTTGCGGTCCTGACGGCTACACAAACACAGGTGCAAATGTGACGTTTCGATGTGCAGAGACAGCGCCGTCCCTGCAGACAGCCAAGCATCGGCAGAAAGAGGAACTCGGGCCTCCTGTAAAGGTGCCTCAGCACTTCAGCTCATTCCACGTTCAGAAAACGCAGCTGCAATTTGTTTCCCCCTCCCATACTTTCTTTCATTCCAGTGGTTAATAGGACCAGCTAGTTTTCTTCCTCCTTCCCTTACCCGTGTCCTATGTGATGCCTGCAGTCTGCATTGGTCTCGTTGTTTGTATTGAAAGCTTCCATCAGTTGGGAGAACAGGACTTGCTTCTTAAATGGTTTCTTCCCAAGAGAGCATGTGGTGCCTATGGTGTGGAGGGAGCTTCTGACTCTTTCTCAATCCTTTTAGGGACCATCTGGTCTTCCAGGACTCCCGGGACCAGCAGGGCCACCAGGACCTCCGGTAAGTGGAGATTTCCAGGGTAATAACTGTGAGGACTGAACTCTGTGCGACTCTGGGATCTTTTTCTGGTGCCTCTGAAGGCCACTGGCAGGGCATTTTGCATTTTATTTGAAGCGTGTCTGCTTGCTACAGGCAAAAAGCCCTGAATTTGAGGAAGGCAGTGACTACTTATTGCCTATGCTAGCGAGTATTTATTTCTGCCTGTTTGTTGTTCAGGTTGCGACAGGAGAGATGCAATGGCATGTGGATGGAGGGCACACACTAGTCCCTGGAATGAGTTTTCCCTCCCACGTGCCCATAATAAAAGAGGCCATATTTTCATGGGCCCTTCCTTCATCTCTTTTGAAAATATGAGGGCTCTGACCAGATCTTGTGCCGAGGCCTGTCATCCTCTTGGGACGGTGCTTTTTTAATGCAATAACCCAGGCCGATCATCGCACGTGCCATACCTGATCCTACCTTCTTGTAATGTTTAGGGTTTGCCTGGGGGCATCGGTGGTAGGGACTGAACCTGGCACCTCCGTACCAAAAAAGGTGGGGTGCTATACCCTGAGCTAAAACATGCAGCACTTCGGAAAGCTTGCTCCTTGGGTCTCCCCCCCCACAAACAAGAACCACATGGATGTAGTGGTTAGAGCACATGCCTTTGTCAGGACCCTGGGTCCTCTTCCTTGGCCACTGACTCTCTTGTGGGATCTTCTCAAGATCTAAGTCCATGTTTGGAAGTGGTAAGTGGCTCATTGGTTTTGTACTGGCCCCCAGTGCACGAGTGAATTTTCTCCTGTGAGACGTGGGGCAGCCCATGCAACGAATGCTGTGAAACGAGTGCAAAGAGCTTGATCTAGCCAACAGGGGCTTACAGAGGTAGTACAGGCATAGGAAATGCCCATATCACTAAAATACGTTGCCTTTTGGCCCTTTGTCTTTGGCATAGTTAAGAATCCAAACTTGCTTGGTTACAGGGGCTGCCCGGGGCTCTTCCGGATGGTGGTGGAGACCTTCAGGTAGGCTTTTCTTTTTGTTTCATCTATGTTTTCACTCTCTTCTCTTGCACACCATTTTAAATGTCTGTATTTGGGCAAACATACGCATGTACAAGGGCCCAAACCTGCAAACACCAGCAAGACTAGCCCTGCCTACCAGAGGGACCTCATTCAAAGACTGGGGTCCTTGAGATGAATAAAGACACTCACATGCATCAGTGTGCTTGTTGGCGCCTTCTTTCGAGGATGCAGAAACGTTACTGCTGGTGCAAGGTGCTCCGTGTCATTTCCTCAAAGATGTTCTTTGCTCCCCTAGTGTCGATTTTGCATATGCTTCCTTGCACACCGGTGTAACACATACAGATTTGGCATGTGACAGCCATGACAGGTTTTCCTGCCAAACTGCGCTGCAAAACAGGAAAGGCTGAGCTCTGCTCTGCTGTTTATTTTCCTGGGTGGCAGCACCTTGGTCCCCTGGGCTTTGTGTGCTCTTTCCATTTTCAGAAAATGTCTTGATTTCTTTATGCCAACAGAACGGCGCAGGCATTAAAGTAAAGTGCGCTGTTGAGTGACATTTTCAGGGTTTCACAGCTGTTGTTATGACAGCTGCTTTGGTTTCCTAATTGGAGTATTCAAAAAATACTTGTAGTTTGTTTGTGCTGCCTTATGGAACAGCCGTGTGCGATACAATGGAAAATGATAACATTTTGGTCATTTGTACTTAGGCCAGCCCGTCGAATTTAATAGAAAATTAAGTCCTTTCTACAGAATGATATTCAGAGATTAAAACAAAAAAAAATAGAGGGAAGATTGCATTTGTTGATGCATCGAGATTTTTAGAGGAGCAGCCGTAGAGCCCTGTTACATTCCTATGCAGCTTTTGATTTCTTCACTATTACATTTCCAAATTCCAGCGGAGACGCACAACGCCAGAACTTGCTGTTGGGTTGCTTCATGTTTAGCTCGGTCTCCAGCCCATGGCTGAGCTCTGTTGTGTCTCACGTTTTGCTTCCAAAAACCTGAGGCGCTCTGCTAAATTCAGACTTGAGAAAATACTCTCTTGGCGCGAGGAAGTCACAGGCAATTCTTCTTTTTTTGTGCTATCATCTTGGCTAATGTAGGCCAAAACTGCATTGTAGCACCTTGCAGGACAAACCTGGTGCCCAGAAATTAGAAAAGGTCTGCATCATTTTAAAATTGGGATGATCAATCGTTAGATGAGGTTTTTTTGTCATGGACATGTCACCCCTTTTCCCCTCGATAGCAATGAACCTACCTCACTGCAAACCCCCATTTGGTGTACTGAATAAACCAAAACCTTTTGTTTTGTGCAGTGCCCAGCTCTGTGCCCCCCAGGGCCACCCGGTCCCCCAGGGATGCCAGGATTCAAGGTAAGAGCAATATCCTCAGCAGATGCAAGGAGCTCAGTCCAAACGTGTAACACAGACACACATAGGGCTGACATCAAGGTGCAGGCTCACACTACACTGCATGAATTGCCATTCTCCTTTATCCAAACCAGGAGGGTGTAGGTGTAGGAGTATACTACTTGTACCTACATTGCCATTGGCAGACACTTGAAAGAGGCAATGAAGGCTACATGCCCTAATCCTGCTCTCTGTGTCTGGATTTCCCCATTAGCCTCCATGGAAGATCCATGGCCTCATGCTTCATCCTGCAAGATGTCCCTATCCAGCATCACTAGGAAGGTTTTTATGCTTGAAGTTCAAGCACATGCCTAAGTCCTGGGATGGATCGGGGCCTCTTGGCAGGACAGAGCCAGGCCTCTGCTGCGGGGGGACTGTTTATCAGCAGTCATTTTGAATAATGATGCTCATGCCATTTAATGATTGACTTGCACTAAGTGAAAGTTGCCCCTGTGTGCAGGGGAAGCTTAAAGACTAAGCACCACGTGAGTCCCCAGTGGAACGGGAGGCGGATTCAGTCCTTGTGCCCTGATATCTGGAAGAGCTGTCTTGGGGCAACAACTTGTCCCTGTCCCAAGGACCTCAGCCTGCTGTATTCAGAGAAGTCAAGCACATCACACGTGCCTACAGTGCACACATGGGAGCCACGAATGCAGAGACGAATATTTCTTTGTAAAAAGACATAAATTACACAGTCAACTCTTTTACGCCTCTCCCCATTTTCGAACGTGCTGACCTCAGTATGGAGATGCTGAGCTGCTGTGGATTAGTGAGTTGTACTCAGTGGCTATATCTCTTATTTCCCCTATAGGGGTACTGAGCCCCATATATATTTCAGCAGGTGTTTGTGTAGTGGCTAGCTGGGAGTAGGACTGAAGTCAGCTTCTCAGCGAGCTGCTCTGCAGTCATTTCAG